CGCATGCTAACTTTGTGGAAGAGATTGTTTTTTAGTTTGTTGTGCTGTTAAACTTCCCAATGTCCCATGCAATGGGACTCTAACTTTCTTAAATGACAACTGATTCCCAAATGTATCCAGCCAGTACCTTGAAAATCCTCCTGAAAATACTTCAAATATGGACTCTTGGCACTAATTGATGGCAGATGCGGGATCTAGGAATCGAACCCACTATCCCCCCCCTCCCACTCCTCCCCTACCCTGGCAACCCCAAGCTCAGGGGCGAAAGGAAGGTCCTCTGCAGCCAGCTTCCCCCTTTCTGTGTAATAAACACAGCTCCAAAGGGTCTCAGTTCTGCCGGCCGCCAACAGGTGGCATCAGTGGTCGTGCAAGGTCCTTCCAGCCTTGGCCTTGGCCTTGTTCCTTAGTCTGTCATGTTTGTTATGTTTGAAATGCAGTGTCTAGTTAAAAATTTACTGAAGCTTAAAGAAAATTGGGTCACAACGCAAGCGTCTTTGGATAATAAAACGAGAGGTGTAGAGGAGTAAGGGTCCCCAACGCCCCTGGCTCTCCTGGGAAACAACCTTCCCAGCAACCCATGACTGCCCAGCTAGGTCAGTGTCGTGTTGGACTTAGAACAAATGGGCTTTCGGAAACTAAGTTGTGGGAAGAGCTTCTGTGTCCCCAGCTGACATGAAAGTGCTTCTCAGAGGTCACACAGAAACGACACAGAAAGCAAAACAACCCTCTACCAGGAGGCAAGGCTGCATTGGCACAGCGCTCTTCAGGACCCAGGACCCTCTGAGACCAGAGCTCCCTTTCCCTGATTTGTCCGGCTACTGCGCTCAGAGCACCATCAGCTACTCGCAAGAAAACAGGGCCTCCCTTGTCAGTTGTGGCAATGCTGAGTGTTGAAGCGAGGGTGGCTTAGGTTCTTCTGCAAGAACTTAGGTGAATGCCATTGTCTTAGTCTTTCAAAGGCAGTGCTCAGAAATCCTGTGGATTGCCCAGCCGGCGTGGCTCAGTGGTTGAGTGTCGACCTATGAACCAGGAAGTTAAGGTTTGATTCCCAGTCAGGGCATATGCCTGGGTTGCAGGCTCGATCCCTACTGTGGGGTGTGCAGGAGGCAGCCAATCAATGACTTTCTTTCATCATTGATGTTTCTATCTCTCTCTCCCTCTCCATTCCTCTTTGAAATCAATAAAAATATATTTTAAAAATAAAAAAATAAAGATGGGGGGCGGGTCCTGTGGATTGCCAGGGCCGTGAGTATTATTTTAGATCAGTGGTTCTCAAGCAGGGCACTTTGCTCCCCAGGGGGCACTTGTCAGTCCTGTGTAGAGACATTCTGGTGGTCACACTGGGGGAGAAGAGAAGGAAGTGACTGGCTTCTAGTGGGCAGAGGCCAGGGATGCTGCTGAACGCTCTACAATGCCCAGGACACCCCCACAACAAAGAATCACACAGCCCAAATGTCAATAGTGCTGAGGTTGAGAAACCCCGCTGAAGGGGCCAGGAATTCTGGCCAAGAAAATTCAAATTCCAAAAGTCAATTTCCCACTGCTATCACAAAAAAACATCTTGACTGAGAAGACAAAGGGTAATTAATGGGCACGCCCTCCTGACGTCAAAATCGGCCCTCCCCAGCTTTCTTCATCCAGGCTTTTTTTAGCACAGTGTCCCTCATTTTTGCCAAGGCCTCCCCTTCTGGATCTCACACTCAGGAACTGCGCTCCATGCACCAAGTATCTTCCTCCACACCCACGCTCTTCCTCACCACCTCCATCTGAGGGATTCACCGGGGATGCTTCCCTATTCTAAAAACACCTCTCAACCAGAAAATAAAGCAAATATCTGCGCGCCCATGCTGGTATAAACAAGTAATTGAATCAATAAATAAGTGGAGAAGGGACAAATCTTCCTTACAGAAGAAGTCCAAGTAATAAATGTGGAAGGAACGAGAGAAAATCAGCAGCAGAAGGCTATAGCAGGCGGGATCCACGGATAAATGTTGAAAGCTTTTAAAGGAGACGCAGGATACTTGCATAGCCTGGAAGCATCTCTCTGAAAATACGTCAGTTACTGTCGTGGTTTTGCACACATACCACCTGAACAAGCTTCCTCTGGGAAGTAGGGTTTCATTCCCCTGCCCTTGAATGTGGGCAGGATTTCATGACTCACTCCTATGGCACAGAGTATGTCCTAGGCAGAGCTTTCTAGATTATCAGGATGACCTCTTAGGGGTTTTATTCTTAGGTCATGAAGATATTTGGACACAATATCCAAATGCAACATGCAGCTGGGTTTGGCTAGCAAGTGGCTTTGCTTTTTGATGATTTTGAGTTTTCCACAAGGATACAGAGCTTGGTGTTTACCCTGAGTGACAATAGCTTGTAGAGCAAATGTGTTTGGGGCGCAGGCACAGCGAGCCTAAAGGGACAATACCTGGCTCCAAAATTCAGAATTCTGCAGCCGCTATCCATCGGCCACTTCAAAAGCCTTAGTGACAGCATCCATTAAGTTAATGCCCCAGTCACTCCAGGTCGGAGCCAAGATTAAAAAGGTACAACTGAAACACTCTCACCAGTCCACACCTTCCTCCCCTAATCTTGTATCTGGAAAGAAATTTGAGTTCAGAAAAAAATCTCCTGGATGCCTCAGAGCCCTCTTCAGCTGACTTGGTAACAAAAGCAGGCTCAAGAAGAAATCAGATGGTCCTTAGCACAAGAATGCCAGGTTATTACTTTGCAAAGAATGGGGTCAAAGCCTTGTTAATAGGAAGAAAATACTTTTTATAAAATTAGAGTGGTTGCTGGGTTGTTTGGAGCAGAAAATTAATATTCACTGCCAAGGCCTATTTGCCTTTAGCTGACTCTGGAGGAAAGTAGTTGAAAGACGGATCAGGATTAGATGGTTCAGCCTCTCCCACCCTACCTCCCACCAAGTGCTGGGGCCCACCACTCCTCCTTGGAGCCAGCAAACCCCCCAGTGGGCTCCAGCTCAAACCATAGGCATCTGAGCTTCCTTTCCCGTGTCCAGAAGTGGAGCTGTTCAGGGGAAGGGCTGAGGATGCTGAATTTGGAGCACAAGAGGGACTCTTTGAAACGGGCCCTGGGAGCACCGGTGAACTGTGTTAAGGGGATGAGTTAGAAAAAGGCCAACACATGACCCTATCTGTTCTGGGTAACCCAAAGCACCCTGGCTGGATCCCTTTACCAGGCATGGGTGGCGATCTGAGTATCAACTGCTACTGGGTCCTATCTGCCCCCTAGTCCATAAAATGGCCTTCAGCCAATGGGAGTCATTCTGCCCCGGAGGTTACACCTGCCCTGAGAGAGGCCCACAGTCCGTCAGTGGCGGATCAGGGAGAGGGGAAACGGCCTCTGTGGTGCAGGTCATGCTCCCAAGCTCCCCACTCTCTGCCCTCTCTCCAGCTCCACCCCTCCACCCTACAGCATTTCCACGAGAATCCCTCAGCTTCTAAGGAATCTCACCCAAGACACCAGGAGTTAAGCTTTCATGAGGTTTTGGGAGTGTTTGGTAGATCCTGGGGAGGAAACTTCAAGACTCCAGAGCTCCCCTAAGGACAACTAGGCAGAGAGGACCCAGCTGATGTCCCTAAAACCAGAGATCAGGTTCATTTCCAAGTTCTTCATTATTCAGATTGGAGAAAGGACATCAGAAAGAGGGGCTCTGCCATACCAGGTGACAGACCTGTCTCCTAAAAAGATTCGACAACAAAAGATTAATTTGGCTAGTTCCCAGGCACCCTGTACCCATGTTGGGGGAAAAACCCTCAACACTAGTGAGTCCAATGTCCCAGAGCACGTAAAAGGCAAAAAGAGTTACATCAGCCATCGAGTCTTTTTCAAGGAGGTACAACAGGTAGGTTTTTTATTTATTTCAATATTTCAATACTAGTATTAGGAGTGTTTTGGATCTCATTTTAGAAGTTTGGTGATATTTCTGTGACCACAAATAGGTTGTAAGAGCTTAACTCTTGTTTATATCAATTAGCCTATGAGAAAATTGGTTTCTTTTTATGTTGTTGTGAATCCTCACCAGAGGAGACTTTTTTCCATTGATTTTTAGAGAGAGTTGACATGAGGGAGGGAGAAGGGGGTGGAGAAAAAGACAAAGAAACATTGATATGAGAGAGACTCATTAATTGTTTGCCTCCTGCACACCCCCCCAGGTATGTGCCCTTGACCAGGACCCTTAAACCTGAGACCCTTCTGTGTGCAGGCTGACACTCCAACCACTTAAGCAACACCGGCCAAGATATATTTTTATTGATTTCAGAGAGGAAGGGAGAGGGAGAGATAGAAACATCGATGAGAGAGAATCACTGATTGGCTACCTCCTTCATGCTCCCTACTGGGGATTGAGCCTCCAACCCAGGCATGTGCCCTTGACCGCAATAGAACCTGGACCCTTCAGTCCACAGGCCAACACTTTATCCACTGAGCCAAACCAGCTAGGATAGTTTCTTTTCACATCATTTTGCTTACAGTCCCAGTTCCCAAGAACCTATCCACGACATTAAGTGAGACTTACTGTGCTTAGAGGTTTTGCACTGGTCCTGCCTCACTGCTATATTTCCTTAGTGTTTGCAGGACTGTTCCCTCTACGTTGGATTGGTAGGAAACTCTCTCCTTTACACACACTCTATCACCTTCCCCTGCCCTTTCTTACCTCTTTATGCTCCTCCTGGGGCTTCCCAGGATCACCTCCCCGGGTCCCCATCTTAGGACAGATGTACATCCAATAACATAAATCTTAAAATCGTAGCTGCAGAGGGCACACTCCCAGAGAAGAGCCCAAGAATGCAAAGCCTGCCTCTGTGTTCTAACTAGTAGAAACTTGCCCAAGTATTTGATTTTGGGGCAAAGTAACTTAAAAGCCAGAGTTGTGAAACAATGGTCTAAAAGAGTCTAAGAACTTTACATGACCCATAACACTGTGCCCTTTGATACAATTTTTAAATTAACTTTTAAAATTAGCTTTCATAAATCTTCACCTGGCTTGCTATATTTCAGATGTCGAATTCAGGACAGTGTTCAAAGGTTTTCTTTTATGAGTTCCAATTCCAATTTATCATTCTTCCTTTACTGACTTCCTTTTGAGCATATGAGTCCTTGAAGACTAAAAAACCAATGAATTAATCAAAGGAAAAATGTTCTGTTTCCCCCATTTAGAAATTCATTGAAATATAGATGAAGTCCATCCTGAACAGCATGACGTTCTAAGAAAGCCATCAGCCTAAATGCCTTTATGAATAACTATTATGTTAGAAGCTCAAAAGATTTTATATCTCAGCCAAACGAATAATCAGGCCACCAAGGAAGAAAATGAACATAACAGGGACTACAGTTTTTCTCTGCTTATAAGAACAGATAAAATATCTTTCCATTTTCCCACCATATACACATTCAGGTAGTTTCTCCAGCTATCTCTGATGTTTCTTGGCCCTAAGTTAAGAGCTTCTGGAAGCTGATTTTGCTTCTTCAGACCCCTATGTTCTATGTGAAGTACAAAAGAATTATAGCATGAAGGCAACATCCTGCTTAACTTGTATAAACTGGTACTTTGGACTCACCAATTGTCAGCCCAGCATCTGTGCCCGTCTGTCAGCTGAGCGGCACTCCCGCTGTGGGAGCGCACTGACCACCAGGAGGCACCTCCTGCGTTGAGCATCTTCCCCCTGGTGGTCAGTGCATGACATAGCTACCGGCTGATCGTCTGGTCGCTTAGCTTTTATATATATCGATATGCCACAAATTCAGTTAAGAAAGTGATTAAACAGCATTACAAGTAAGTATTTTTAAAAAACAACATAGCCCTGGACAGTATGGCTCAGTTGGTTGGGCATCGTCCTCTGCACCAAAAGGTTGCAGGTCAGGGCACATGCCCAGGTTCCGGGTTTGATCCCCTAGGGGGCGTGAAGGAGGCAGCCAATCAATGTCTTGCTCTCACATGGATGTTTCTCTCTGTCTCCCTCTCCCTTTCCCTTTCTCTCTAAAAATCAATTTAAAAAACAAAACAGCCCTAACCGGTTTGGCTCAGTGGATAGAGCATCGGCCTGTGGACTGAAAGGTCCCAGGTTTGATTCCGGTCAAGGGCATGCACCTTGGTTGCGGGCACATCCCCAGTAGGAGGTGTGCAGAAGGCAGCTGATCGATGTTTCTCTCTCATCAATGTTTCTAACTCTCTATCCCTCTCCCTTCCTCTCTGTAAAAAATCAATAAAATATATTAAAAAAAAAACAAAAAAACCCTAACCCAAAACAAGCTTTTAATTCTCCCTGCCTGCCAATCAGAAGTACAAAGAGAAAATTACTATCAGTATTCATCCCTCTTTAGCTATTAACTATTACTTGCTAGGCAAAGGTATTCATAAGTCTGACTTACTATAGGAGGCTTGTGGTTTTAAAAAATACAAATGCCAAATATAATCAGTACATTACTATATATTTGTGTGTGTGTGTGTGTGTGTGTGTGTGTGTGTGTGTGTAGAAACACAAACTATGTATTTGTCTATAATTATTTAGTAATCAAACTAGTCTTTTTCCCCCTGAAATTTACCAGTTAGGAAAATCATTATGTCATGTAAATAATTTCCCTGGCTCCACCCAACTGCATCAAAAGCAGTCTTTCTTCTAGCACAATATGTATTTGGAAAGTGCCCAGTATGTGGCGTTCTTGTCCAGATCACTATACCCAAAGCACGTAGCAGAAAAAATCTTGTAGCTAAGCTCACTCCTCCCAACCAGTAATTAACAGACCTCTCTTCCTGACCAAAGGGCCCAGCAAATGAGCTTCCAAGATGAGAGCCACCAACCGCACAGTTATCTTTCAATTCAATGTTGGAGAGATTTCACTTTGTCGCTCCCCAACACAATGGGATGGGTTTGGAGAAAAACAGGAAAGACATGTCCTGTGTGATACGCATGTGGCCCCTGAAGAGAAAGGACATTCCTAGTTCATTAATTCCGACAGGATGCTCAGTACTTTTCATCTAATACGGACCAGACCTACTCAGGCACTGCCCCCACAGCTGTATATTATCCTGTCCTGCTATTCTGTGGGACCTACTGTCTATTTGATTCAAGTAGGAAGATTCTAGAAGCACTTTCAAAATGGGAGTATACAATGTTTTACTTCTAATGTGAGTAATTCGGAATACCGGTGGAATTGCCTCTTCACACACACACACACACACACACACACACACACACACAGACACACACACACACACACACACACAGTTTAAGGCAGGCCAAGGCAAGAGTTCTGCACCCTAGAACACAAATAAAAGCTACACCCTGCGCAGAGTGCCTGGGCTGGGAGCACGCCCTGCCACCTTAAACTGGTTGTCCACCTCTGATGGACAATGGCAATCCAGAGGCTGACGGGGAAAGTATGGAAAATCAATGGGCACTCACTTGGATAGACAATTCTGGGTGCAGAAGACCTGCCACGGGGAATAAATCACTTCATTTAAGTTTATCTTTTTAGCAGTGCATCGTGGATTATACCCATATATCACTTCAACCTCTTTTCTGCCCTGTTGACAAAGGACAAATTGAGAAGGATGGTGAGAAAACTGGGAGAAAGAAGTGGGGAGGGTGGACAGAAGAGCTCTGTTACTAGGCCTGTGCAGGAAAAGAAATAATAATAATAAAGCAATGTCTTTGTTTTCTAAGTATCAGTTCTACTTGGAAAATTTCACAGCGCTTCCTGGATTTACCAATGAAGTGACAAGAAACCATGCATAGGTGTGCAGGAACTATGCTTCCCCTCTGTACATAATCCTTCATTCTGTTCACATCTATTTCTAGCCTTTGAGTAGGAGAACTTAAAATGTGACCCAGAGCCCTTCATTCCACAGGTATTCATCCACCCTCCTACACTAGACCTTCTCCAATAATGAGTCACCCACCATCCCCTCTGACTTCTGATTGGGTGGCAATCTACCAAGCCAGGGTCCCTTATTTCCTTGTCTGTCTTCCCTACCGGACAATAAATCTGAATGCAGAGTAGAGCTCATTCATTGTTTGTTTTTTTGCCCATTTTTCTTTTATTGAGGTAAAATCAAATCCACCTGGCACACAATTAACCATTTGAAACTGAACAATTTAGTGGCATTTCGTACGGTCATAATGTTGTATAACCATCACCTCTACCTATTTCCAAAGCATTTTCACCACCAAAATAAAACCCCGTACCCATTAAGCAGTCATTCCCTATTCCCCAGCACCTCCACTGGCCCGTGGCAACCACCAATCTGCTTTTATGGATTTACAATCTATTCCAGATATCTTTTATAAATGGGATCCTATAATAGATGACCATTTGTGCCTGGCTTTTTTCAATAAGCATGATGTTTCTGAGGTTCATCCAAGTTGTAGCATGTAAGAGCTCATTCATTGTATTCTCAGCATTTGGCATTGGTATTCTCAGCACTTGACTCAATCAATGACTCCCAAGTGAAACTGCAGAAAATTAGAAGTAGGAAAGACTTCCAAATGGCACATACTAAAAATAAAAAATTTATATTATTTTATTTTGTAATAAAAATTATGTATTCAGTACTGCGTCACTAATGACGGGAATACATTCTGGGAAATGCATCACTAGGCAATTTCAATCCTGTGTGAACATCATGGGGTGCCCCTATGCAAACGTAGATCAACAATACTACACATTTAGTCTATATGGTATAGCTCGTTATTGCATCTAGGCTACAAGCCTGTACAACCTATTAGTGTATTGAAATGAATACTGTAGGCAACTGTAGATATGAAGGCCTAGGACACCACTGCACACTACTGTAGACTTTAGAAACACTGTACACTTAGGCTGCACTAAATTTTACGACAGCTGGGACGTCATGACGGCCAAGTTGCTAAGCAGTAGGAATTTTTCCATTTCATTATCATCTATGGGTCCAGTGTCGTATATGCGGGTCTTTGCTCATGACAACATTATTATGTGGCTCATGACTGAGGGTGTACAGTGTGATGATTTCCTATACATATACATCATGAAATGATTACTGTAGTCAAGCTAATTCACGTATCTCTTCACACAGTTAGCTTTTTGTGTGTGTGTGCGCGATGAGCACAAAAAATAATTTGTGCATTCCTGGATGGACAAATGGATCAACATAATGTGGTACACACATACAATGGAGTATTATTCAGCCTTTAAAAGGTAGGAAATACCAACACAAGCAGTAGCACAAATGAACCTAGGAAGCTAAGTAAAATCATCCAGACACAAAAGGCCAAATACTATCAGATTCCACTTATAGGAAGTCCCTAGAATAGTCAAATTCATTGAGATGGAAAGTAAAATGTGGCTGCCAGGGGCTGGTGGGAGGGGAGAATGGGAAGTTAGCATTTATGGGTACAGGGGTTTCTTTTGGGGGAAGATGAAAAAATTCTGGGTATGCATCATGGTGATGGCTGAACTACACTGTGAATGTACTTAACGCCATTGAACTGTACACTTAAAAAAGGTTAAAATGGTAAATTTTATTTTATATATACAGGGTGTCCCCAAAAAATGTATACACACTTTACCAGCTGATTGCTCAATTTTTTTAAATGAAATTTTAATTAACACTGCCTTTATAATTATTCAAAGTATTCATTTTTGGGGACACCCTGTATATATAAAAGACACTACCATTTTTTAAAAGTCTCCTGTGCAGTATTTCGCAGGAGGAAGGAGTATGTGGGACTGTGGTCTTGACCCACTTTTAGTGACTATTTCTTCTTAAGTTGAGTTCTGAAATATCGAATTGATAGCAAAGGGAAAAAAAAAACACATCTAGGATTCACACAGCTCAGTGTCCAAATGTCTACAGTCCTTAATTTGGAAAATATCACAAGAATCATGAAACTGGTTCTAAATTTACTTCTGATTCATGAAAACAAAAATGAAGTGTGATTTTAATTGGGCTCTCTGCGAGTGTAAGTGTTGTTGCACATGACTCATTATTTTAATTGTTAGTGATCACTGGCTACTCTACCAACCTCACTACCAGAGAGAGAAACATGAAGTCATTAAAATATTCAAAACAGAAAAAAAACTTTATATTTCTAACCTTTTCTTTTTAGCATCAACTGTCCTTTATCAAAGGACTAACCTTTTAAAAGGAGATGAATTAGCTTTCAATAGTTGACTACTTTGGTAACTGGATGTCCATAGCTATTTTACTGTCCCTTTTCACCACCCCTAACCAGAGAGAGTAGTCGAGTTCAGTTCTAAGAGAGTTCTAGATTATAATGTTGACGTTCTCACACAAGCAAAACATCCCAGCAATGTTAGATGCCTTGTCAAGATAAAGACAGGAAGTTTTTTTTTCTTTGATATCTGTCAAGAAATTAAAGAGGCATGCTTGCTACTTTTTTTAAAAAGTTATTTTCCTTTTAAAGAAAAGTGTTATATTTATTCCAATAACAGTTTAATCTTGAGTCCACAATGAGGCTTTAAAATGGGGGGACAAGAATGCAACAAGTTGACAGACTCCCCATTAAACTGACATGCCCACTCTACGTCTTCAAAAGATGTGAGTACCAGCATCATCAGAAGCAATCCTCAGGGTCGCCTTTACCTTCTTACAAACACCAAGTCTTTCCAACCTCAAACACGGAGGAGGAGAAAATGCAAAAGAAGGGACTTGGCTATATCAGGATGGACGCCCCTCAGAAGGTCAGTGTAAATTAAATACGTACAACCAAATGGTTTTCATTGCTCCAGTGCCAACACAAAGGTGACAAGGAAGAAGAGGTAAGAGATAAAAATGTTAGCACTTAAAGGAGCAGAGCAATAAATACTGTGAAGATCGATGTACCTGCCTCTGCCGTTCAGTAACACGGCCTCATAGTGATTTTTGACACTGGATGGTGAGAAAGGACTTTCGGGAGACACCGAGGGGAGCTTAGTGAAAGTAGAAACCTGAGTAACGTACACAAGAAGCACCTAAAGGTCAGGTTCTCCAGGGGCTGGAGGCTTGCACCCCGCCCCCCCACCCCCGGTCGGGGTCCCAGACAAGAAAATCACTTCGTTCTGGGCGGAACAACCACAGACAGCCACACACTCAGAGACACATGCAGACTGAGGTGACCAAAAAAACAACACTGGGATTAAGCCCACAAATCATTTTCCATAAACCTTTCCAGAAAAACAATGTAAGTCCTGGGGGTGTACTAGACATCATGGTGGCTACAGTTAACAAAACTTCACTGTACACTTAAAATTTTCTAAGACAGTAGATCTTAAAAGTTCTCATCACACACACACACACACACACACACACACACACACACAATTTTTTTTTTTTTTTTAAAGAACAGCAATGTATTCGTTGGGATCCCAGGTAAAAATTTCAGAAGAAAACACCTTCAAAGAATGGGGCTTCTCTCTGTGGTTTCAAAGGCAAGCAAGCTTCACTTCCGCTGCTCCAAGGACCCAGAAAGGCTCAACTGTGCTGGGGAACTGGGTGTGGGAGCTTGGAGGCTTGCACAAACAATCAACTCTTCCTTTAGAGATTCTAGAGTATCTTGTCCTCCCCTAAGAGATTCTGGGGCAGCAACAAACTACTAATAGGTAGTAACAGGCTCACTGTATACTGTTTTCTATTCCTCTGAGCTTGAATTAAAAACAAAACAAAACAAAGACATTCAATCAGAAACAAAGTTAATTCTTTTATCATATTCCTAAAGGCTATATTGCTGTGTGGGATCCTGGTTAAGCTTGAATATACTTTTATTATCCATTCTTTTCTTTTGGACCTAGAATCTTCCCCGTACCCCCTCTAGGCAAAAGACTCCAGTTAAAAAGAACTGGTTGTGCCCTAGTTTTAGGAGGTGCTGAAGAGGCAGGTCCTAAGCAATATGAAGAAAGCTACCTGAGTCCGACTGGAACTTCTAGAGCAGCGGTTCTCAACCTGTGGGTTGCAACCCCTTTGGGGGTCGAACGACCCTTTCACAGGGGTCGCCTAAGACCATCGGAAAACACATATATAATTACATATTGTTTTTGTGATTAATCACTATGCTTTAATTATGTTCAATTTGTAACAATGAAAATACATCCTGCATATCACATATTTACATTACAACTCATAACAGTAGCAACATTACAGTTATGAAGTAGCAACAAAAATAATTTTATGGTTGGGGGTCACCACAACAGGAGGAACTGTATTAAAGGGTCACGGCATTAGGAAGGTTGAGAACCACTGTTCTAGAGCAATTTAAGCCTTACGCTCCAAATGCCTAAACAATGGGCTCTATTTAAGCACAGTCCAAAAGACCTCATTGCATCAGAAGGCACCTTCCCAATAAGACTGCAGCTAATTCTCCGAGCAGCAGAAATCCACTCCCATGAATAATAAAGCTTTGCTCTGTTATTCATAATAAGGATTAAACCCAGCGGGGTAAAATGCACAGTTGCCAGGTCAACTTAGTGTAGGGCTGAGCGTGGAAAAGTGAGCCCTCCTTTCTCCCCAGCAACGCCTGGTGGTTGGTACAGGATCCCATTTCTTTAAACTGCCTGTCACAGCTTCTTTTGCTGTGAAAGGAGAAATCCAAGAACAAGTAAAGTGTTTGGAGAGGCAGAGCTTGAATATTACTACTATCCTCAGCCCCATGTCACAATTGTGAGTGCAACTCTTCAAAGTTGTTACATAAAATGTAAGATTCCCCAGCCAAAAGCCTGCCTCTAAAGCATCAGGGGGTTAGCTCCACACGCGCACTGGTTCCACCTAGGATTTCCTTCCCATTCACTGCTCCCCACCCTGCCCCCATTCCAGCTAAAACCATCTGCTTGCTGACCACGCCTTCTTTGCTAAAATCCATATTAATCCTTCAGGACTTGCTTCAAACAGCTTCCCCATGATCCTCACCCAATACCAGCTCTTCTCTGCACGTAGTCGATACTGAGCTTGCAATCAATCACAAGTTTAATGTTCTTACTGAAATAGTCATATGTGGAATAATATGTTGTCTGGGATTTGCTTTGAAATAATCCGAGGATGCAGGCAGAGGGAGCAGCATTGCAAGCAGCTGGAATGGCCCTGAGCTGACTGTCGTCGTTAGAGGATGGGTACATGCGGGTTCATGCCGGTTCTCTCTACTTTTGCTTATGTTTGAGTTTCCATAGTAAAACTCTGAAAATCACTACTGTCAAGAAGCTAGCTA